GGCGTTTTGAAAACGCTGCCCGCACTTATAAGCTGCCCCAACAAACCCTGTATCTTCTAGTAAGTTTCTCGCTTCTATTTTCATATATTTGTAGGCTACAATATGTTACAGGGAGGTAACAAAAGGTATAACTCGGATATGATCCCTCAATATTCTCACTGTAACCTATCTGTAGGCTACTGACGACGTACGCAATTTTCCCCCCCTTTTTTAGGTAATTTTTTGAGGTTCCTTTTTGTTCAATTAAAACCTTTTGTCTAGGTTGCGGTTAGCCGGTTAAGTGGTTAAATGGACACCAACTAATTTAGTACATAGAATTTAAGACTGATTTTATTGCCGGGAAGTTAAGAACACGTTTCCATAATAATATATAGTTTTTAAAGCATCAATACATTCATTTTTGTAGAATTTATAAAGATTTATAAAAATCACATCGTATGTTTTTATTAAAAACAAAAGGTGGCAAGTTGGCAGACACGTTGCCATAATGCCATGCATGTATCTTACGTGGCAGAACACTAGCTATGTCTAAAGTATAATATTGAGCTATTTAAGTATGATGTAAATAAAGATAAGTAATTTATATTATTCTATGAACTAGAAGCATGTACCTAATGTATATAGAAACATAATTTGAACTTTGAGAGCCATCATCTAATGGTACTCTTTATTCTATTGTAGGCAATAGTTCTAGCTGAATGCCAGTGGCTTGATTTGATTGTTGTCTTTATATAATGGAGAAATGATAATTAGGAAGATTTGTGTTTGTATTTTGATATTTTATACATGTCCGTTGCGTTCTGTCATGTAGTTGGAGATAGTTGATAAAGGGGTGTTGAAGGTAGGACAGGATTGTTCTCTTCATAAAGCATGAGATCAAATAATCAAACCAGTTCTATTTGAACATCAATAGTTGATAGATCTCAAGCATCATTGATACACTTTAAACATTGTAGGTCGGGAAAACTTTAATAGCAAGTTTCATCTGATCACTAGTAGTCGATAGATCTCAAGTATCATTCTGTCACACTTTAAAGAAATCTATGAGGAACGTTGTAGGTTAGGTAAACTTTAATTGACTTGAATTACTTTGCTGTTCTTCTTCTAGGAGAGAGATCGTACAATTGAAAGGTCTTGTGATAGATTTCCATGGCTTACATGTATTTGATTTAGGTGGATGTCAACATTGTTCTATGATTAGTATTTGACAGATGTGATAGAGAGGAGCTGGGTTGCAATACATAGCACTCTATAATTCTATAAAGCCAATATTTCTTCCCACCAATATTCATTTGAATATGCACAAACATCACATACTCGTAGAGTTTTGGAAAGGATATTTAGGACCTTGTTGTTAGAAATTAAGACATTTCATTCGATTATTAGAATACTTAATACAAATTAATATTTAGCGTATATAAATATGTTAATGAAATCATAACAAAGTAATTTTAGGTTCAAATTTATTTTATTGAGCAACTTATTTTAATATTAAGCATATTAAATTTAGCGATCCTTTTCTCAAATGATCACATCAAATTTCTAATTTTATTTTCTGGAGTATTAAGAGTAAAAATATATTGACATCAGATCTGTCTCATCAATTAATTCATATAAAGATCTCGCAAGACATTCTACATGTCATTGGGGCCAAGTGAATAGTTAAAGTTATTGTATCAAAAAATCAATTTGATGGTCATCCAATTGCTTCATTAGTTAGATTTCATTTTCCCCTTAATTGTCATAAATTAGCACAACCTTTTTAATAATTAAGAAAAATGGAGCATTTACATGCATCCAATGCAATTCTTACATATTTATATGTCTAACATCTAAATATATAAGAATGATGTTGTATTTATATAAATCTTCCATGATTGCCCACACAGTCTCAATACTATGCTTCTCTAACGTGTAGGACGATGAATTGAGGAGATACCATGGGCTCCGGCTAGTAACCTCTTCGCTAGACAAGAAGCAGGAGATTGCAATCAAAGCCAGTCTAGATTCAGATTCCACCAGCGCCGCCTGGCCGGAGCGCGCGCCGCCATCATCAAGCCAGCAGGCAGCCCGCTCGTCCTCCGTCGCATTCGAGATCGCCGCAACGGCGGCATCCTACATCCATGACAAAGCCAAGAGTCTGCTCTACCGAGGATCACAAGCCACCGATGAGAATGAGATTGCAGCTGATTTTCAATCGGGTGGGAATTGCAGGACTTACAAGTCGAAAATGGCGACCTATGTCGCGGCATCGTCGGTAACGGCGGTGGTGGCGGCGGAGGAAAAGGCGAGGCTGGAGGCTGCCAGGGAACTACAGTCTCTGCATTCTTCGCCTTGCGAGTGGTTCGTGTGCGACGAGCCCAGCACCTGCACTCGCTGCTTCGTTATCCAGGTTCTTCAAAACTTCCTTTTTTTTCTATTAGTTTTGCAGGTGCTATTCCTGCTCTTGATGAAATCAATAGTGATGTGGAGGTGATAGAAAATAAAAAAATATTTTTTTTTAGCACAAGGGAATACTCCTCTCATGTTATTCTTCCGTTATTAAGGTGTTATTGTGGTGATATTAATGTATTATTGTGTTCTGGGAATAATCTTGGTATTATAATAACACAATAACACATCAATACTACTACAATAATATCTGAAAAACATAGAATAAAATAGGAGGAATATTCCCCTGTGTTTCAAGACCAGATTACAAGAAAATAACATATTAAATTTTCGGAGCATTAACATTGAGACCATCCTAAACTTGCTATTTACAAATCATTCACCCTTTTTCATCCATATTTTATATTCACACTCAAATACCAAAATTTATGAAAAAACCCCGATCCATATTTTTCATTTTTATCAAATTCTAATTAGTTTGATTGTGGCACACATTAAATACATCAAATACATCAATTTGATAGTTTAAAAAAAAAAAAAACATCTAAGTGGTTAATTTATAAATATCATTATTTTGGGTGATGTACATATAATTATCCCATAAATTTTTGTGGCATTTACATATAAACCCCCAAAAATTCGCTATTTACTAATCAACTATCATCTTTCATCCATTTTTCATATTCTCACTTTAAAATAAAAATTCATCATAAAATTCCAACTCATATTTTTTCATTCAGTTCAAATTCTCAATAGTTATATTGTGACATATGCAAATACATCAGTCCGATGTCTCCTCCATAAATATCAAAATTTCCAATGATCTATTCGTAATCATCCCCAAAATTTTTCTTAGCCATAAATTGAACAGCATAACAATTATCTATAAAATTTAATCTTAGCAAAAAGTTCAACTTTGAATTATCTTGTATAGTTATATGTATATATGTGTGTGTGTGTGTGCAACGTACTTAAATCAGTTGGTCGGACATCTTCTTGTCAGTTGTTTGTCTCCTCTGATATGGGGTTCAATTTCTCCGAGTGTAGGGTGTGGTACTCGAATTCTTAGACTCATGAGTGATAACCGAAGCTCGCATAATAACCCCTAGACATTTCTTTGTTAGTATATATATATATATATACATATATCCTCTCGCATCATAACATTGCTTATTCATCACAAAACATATATATCGATCTATATAAAAAGTAAGAACATTTAATTGCATCTAAACATTTGTTTGATGAAATGTCAGGGATCCGATTCTCTGGCCTCGTGGCAAGCCAATCTCTTCTTCGAGCCAACCAAGTTCGAAGTAAGTTCTCAGCCCCCCATCACAACCCCATTTAAAAATAAACCATTTTATATACATTTTTTTATGTATAATATAAGGATGCAACATATGATTATACAAAAAATGTGCATACAGTCATAATATAACATGAAGCAGGAAACAGAGGCTCTAGTCCACCGAGGAATCTACGAGGCAGCCAAAGGCATCTACCTCAAACTTCTTCCCGACATCCAGTCCCACCTCCTCACCCACGGCCCCAACGCCCGCTTCCGCTTCACCGGCCATTCCCTCGGAGGCAGCCTCTCCCTCCTCATCTCCCTCATGCTCCTCTCCCGCCGCGCCATCCCCCTCCCCTCCCTCCTCCCCATCGTCACCTTCGGCTCCCCCGCCGTCCTCTGCTCCGGCCACCTCGCCCTACATTCCCTCCGCCTCGACCAAACCCACATCCTCGCCGTCATGATGCACCGCGACATCGTCCCCCGCGCTTTCTCCTGCGACTACCCCAGCCACGTCGTCAAACTCCTCGGCCGCCTCAACACCTCCTTCCGCGCCCACACCTGCCTCAACGCCGACAAGCTGCTCTACTTCCCTCTCGGAAAGCAGTACATCCTGCAGCCGGACGACGAGTTCTCTCCGCCTCACCCCTGGCTTCCGTCTGGGGCTGCGTTATACGTGTTAGACTGCGACGGCGATGGCCGCCGCGGGGCGCTGCGGAGGTTTTTGAACACGCCGCATCCGCTGGAGACGCTGAGCCATCTCAAGGCTTATGGTTCTGATGGAACGATATTGCGAGATCATGATTCGGGGAACTATCTGGTGGCTTTGAACGGGCTTCTGCGGCGGCGTACGAGGGTTCGGTCGAGGAGGCGGCGGTGGAGCCAATGGTGCCCGCCGGAATCGTTGCCCGTTCATGCGTGGGTGAAACATGAGAGCCAGGTAGGGAAGGAGATTGCGTCCGGAGCTTGACATGGGATGGCATGCGGCTATTGTAAATAGGCAATTGGTTCCTCTTGGCTGGGATGATCTTTGTTTTGCCTGGTTGGTGTATATGAATTGTAATTTCAATCATGTCATGTGGCTTTTTCATTCTTCTTTGAAAGCACATTCTTATAAACTATATAATATTTCCTTCTAATAATGTATGGAGTGTGAATATATGAAGATGTTAGTATTATCATCCCATCTTTTCATGGAATACATGTTGAACATATCCCTATTTTAGGTGTACGAAAAATATGATATTATGAATCTAAAAGCAATGAAATGGGCAAGGACATAAGACGATTGTTGGGAGATCAGACGGCTGACTGATCGACCGAGCAACATGGATTATTCTGAGGAGTCTAATTATCGGAGGAGGAAGACGAGCGGTGTGCATAACCATCTCAAATAAGCGTCATTCCGTCGGCCCGACACTGAACTATTGGACGTTCCGCAATCCAAAAGGTTTGAAGGTTCATGCAGAGATCTACACCGTCGATTACCGCAAAGATGTATTTCTGTGGGCCCCATTTTTAACTTTTTTTTTTTAATTGATGGACGGTAGAGATCGGTGATCGACAGTGTAGCATTTCTGCATGCGGTGTCCGTATGGAATAATTTTTCGTCAAGGTGGAGGGTGGAGTCGGGCTCACGCCATAAGCTTGATTAATATTATGGAGTTCAAACTCGAGCTAAAGCTGTATTAGAAAAAGAGAAAAATAATATTAATTTAAGGTGATATTAGAATAAGATGATAATAAAATGAGTGATTAGTAGAGAAATAATAAAAATTCACTTTATAAAAATATACATAATATTATTTTTAAAATATTTTTAATACTTTAAAGATAAAATCTTAAATTTAATATATTTTAAGCATGTGTTATATCAATATTTTCTTAAATGAGTCGGCTCACGAGCTAACGAGTCGAGTCGGGGCTAGCTTCAGCTTGACTTGTTAACTCATCAAGCTTAGTTCAAGGGCCACTTATCGATCCAAGCTCGGGCTAACTCACAAGTCGGCTTGACTTACTTACACCCTGCTTGAATTTATTGTTCTATAATAATCTGATAAATAAGGTTTTTAGTAGAATAAAATCTTTCATTATCATAATATGTGATTTTTTTGCGAGAAAATCCCAGAATCTGGATGGAAACCGAATGCAGAGGAGCTCCAAGAATCCAAAGTAGTCCATGCCCTAATTTTAATCCTTCATTTCAATCGATCTTCCTTTCATGGCATTCGTTGCTATCTCGAGATGTAATATAGAGCGAGATGATTCAGAAAGAAAGAGGAAAGGGATCGAGCAAGCGACGAAGGTGTAGTCGGCTGCGGGCTCCTCGAATCTAATAGGTAATGGATGCCCTAAATTTCCCACTTTATTTTCTTGCATTTCTATGGCAATGTCACTTACTGTAAGCCTGAGATGAAAGATTGTGGGAATGTGTTTCAGTAGGAATGTATCTCGGGTCCTTTTGAGGTTGAATTTAGTTGTTGGAAGATTTACATACATACCACTCAGTTCTTACTTGTTTTACATGCTAACACCTAATCTTCAATTTTTATATACATGCTATCTTATCTATCCATGAAATTGTGTATTTCACATTTTTAAAAGTTAATCAAATTGAGGTTGTTTTGGTACATTTTAGAAGTATAGTTAAGTTTAAATTCAAGTTAATGAAATTATTAGAGTAAGGAGATATATTCCTTTAAGCTGTAATAAAATCGTTAGAGGAATTTTCCTAGGCGAGGTCTTAACACTTCTGAGCTAAAAATTTACACTACCATGTATATTCATTCATTTCATTTTACCTTCAAATAAAATCGTCGGGCTTTCCCTGGACAGAGGAGTTGCGGCAGAAGGAAGATAGAAAGAAAGAACGAAGAAGAAGATTGTCCTTCTTAACTTCTTCTTGGTGGCTTGTGACAGAAGAGAAATTGAGTTATTTCTCTTATAAGTTTATCTACTTCGGTGTATCTCGGTGTAGAGAGAGAAGAAGAGGGAGCAAGGAAGTGAGATATACTTTTTGTAAGTAGAGACAATTGGCTGGTGTATATTCCTAATTAGTAAAATCCTCTGCAACTCCGTGGACGTAGTCAATTTGCCGAACCACGTTTGCCGAACCACGTAAATTATTTGTGTGTTCCGCTGTATTACTGTTTTATGGTGTGAATTTTCTAGTTCTATTTTTCGCTTCATCGTCAATCGTTCTATTTTATTCTATATACTACAATAGGAACAACCAATCATACCCCATTGAATTGATTTAAAAGCCATGTCTTAATAGCCTCCATGCAATATAAGATAAGATAGTTTATTTTATTTTATAATTCCTTGTCTTACAACCATCACATTAAATCATAATTAGATTGACCATGAGGGTATTTTATGTTAAAATACTCAAATGCAATATTTCATTTAATTATTTTCTTATATAAGTCATAATTTAATCTATATGTGTATCAAAATCCTATCTTCACAAATATGCATATGTGCAGCAGTTAATTTTTTTTTTTAATCTAAAAAGGTTACTTTTTTCATAAATTTATCTTTGTCAAAACAACTCTATTTATTTATTTCACAATCAGGACCTATTTCCCCATATTCAAGCATGAACTCTTCCTTCATAATTGGTGAGTCTATTGCTGAAGTTTCCGTAAAGTTAATTTTAGCAAGTTCAGGATCTCTTTTGCTGTTCATTGCACATGGAGGCCGTGGAGTTAGTGATGTGCATGAAGAAGAGAGGCTTCCCACATTACCAAACTCCATATTTTTATATTTTTAGAAGCCCAAAACAGTTCACTCTCAGGTTTATTTTCCATCAAAAAGGAAAGGAGAATGAAGTTTTTCTTGCCTTGATTCTCTGTGTATGAGGTTTCAATCTTTAATTTATGATGTTTCTGAAAATATTAACGTCATGGTCAATTGTTGTGCTGAGTGAGAAGTCTCTGTTGTGGTTCATAAAGCCAGGAGCTTAATTCCTTTGTCTGCTATAGCCAACTATAGCATATGTGACTTCCATGGTAGGTGATGAAAAAGACTGTTGTGTTCTCATCAGATTCTTATGCTTGCTTCATTGCTGAGCAGACTCACTTTTTTCGGTGAGTGCAACGGTAATAGGCTATGTAAAATTGTATGAGCGCAGCTTTATTTAGCTTTCCTGGTTGAGTTTCTTTGCTAGATCACGAACTTGAGTTTGCCATCTATCTTCTTCAAGTCGTTAGTGTCTAGTGTTTATTGGATCCACAACAACTTGAAAGAAATAAAGTTAATCTTCCCTTTTTACAGGTATTATTTTGGAGTTAAAAGAGGATGGGAGGGAAAGAAAGAACACAAGATTGTTGGGAAAGTGGTGTGCCACTAAACAGGGGATGTGATGTTGAAATATAAACTTGTTTTAGTTGTTTAAATAAAGCTTAATTTCTATAAGCTTATTCTAGAATATGTGGTAGGTATGAAATTATTGTGTAGTAGGTGTGGTAGGTGTGGTAGGTGTTGAATTATTGTGTGGTAGGTGTGGAATTATTTGTAACCATTGGATTGTAATTGTGGTGGCACAATCCTAGCCATTAATTTAGGAGGTGCCACTAGTATAAATAGGGGTGGAGTCTTTGAGTTTGTATCAAGCCAAGTTAAGGTGTTAAATAAGAGTGAAGCTTCTTCCATAAGTTGTGTTTTTAGCCTTTGTCATTTCCTAAAAGCTTCTCCATTCCAACATAGAAAAGGTTTGAAACAACTACAAATGATAAGATTTTCATGATAAGATATTACAATATACATCTAATTTGCCACAAAAAAAATCTAAATATTATAATTTGAGATCTCATGTCACCACAAATATATTGTTAATTGGAACCAACAAGTATTATATGTACTAGTTGCATCCTATTTCATTGCACAAGATCTAATGAAGTGTTTCATAAATTCAATAGGAAATGAGGATTGCATGTGTATAAGGTTAGCAAATCAAAGTTCCATCATTTTGCATTAAATAAATTTCCCTTGATTGCATAAATTATTTATATTTTCCTTTTGAATTCTTGCACAAAATGCATGTACGGAGGCTCTCAATTATATACAAGATTCGGTTGATTGAATGGTAAGAATCATAATTTTATTAATGCAATGGCATATCCTCTTGGTTAAAGCTTCTGGTTGCATGCATTAGAAGTTTAGTCTCATTCAATAACTGCTTAAAAGTGCACAATTGTTAAAAAGTGAGGACGGCTTATTAACATCCTTAATATAACGACATGGATTGTGCATCCAACTTAGCTTAATGGTTGGGTTCCTTGTCTCCAAATAATGTCTTGATTTCTAGGTTTCGTACATATAAGTGTGCGCGTAAGTTTAAGAAAAGTAGCAATAAAGACTACAAACTACCAGTGTTATATACTTGTAAGATAATACTTATTTCTATGGATTTTTTTGCTTCTCTTTTATAATAATTTAGCTTAACCAAGTTTGAAAAGGAAGCGGCAATTTTTTGTTCATTTTCTAGTAAATGTGACTCCATATTTAGTAGAATGATATCCCCTCTCCTATCTAAAGATATTTTTTGTTTGAATATATAATTCATAAAAATTTGGTTTCTTATGTCCCGCTTGAGTCATTTTATGTTTCTATATGGTTCATATTTCACTTCTAGAGGAGCTTTCACAACGCCCAAAGTGTTCCATTACAGGAAAACAATATAAGAACCAAGGAAATAAATTGACAATAATAAAAACCAAGATTGACAAGTTTTATATTTTGAATAATTTTGAAAATTGACAAAACAAGAACATGTTGTGGCAAAAAAAAAAAAAAATACTATAATTACAACATGCAAAATTTTATGCCATAATATATATATATATATATATATATATA